TGTGTCTTGTTCTTAAAACATTAGTCAATATTATATATATATATATCGGACGAGGAAGTTAGGTGTGTGAATAATGTTGTGTCTTGTTCTTAAAACATTAGTCAATATTATATATATATATATCGGACGAGGAAGTTAGGTGTGTGAATAATGTTGTGTCTTGTTCTTAAAACATTAGTCAATATTATATATATATATATATCGGACCAACTATTTAATGATTACATATATACGTCACAGATTTCTTTTCTTTCTCACCAAAGGTGAAACGAGAATCTGTGACGTAGAGGCCTAATGCTTTCTCTGATTGGCTGTACCCTCTGCTGTGGACTGTAGTTTCACCTATTCAAGGCTCATCAGCACAGTTTGGGTCAGCAAACCAAACAAATAAAGTTAGGATTTTTATATAGGTATATATCGTTTATGGGGTTTTCTTTATATTCACATTGTAGTTTTCAGTTAATAGCATCGAACGATTGTCTTGTCTTATTTCCATAGTTACCTGACTTTTAACTGATTCCACAAACCCCAGCTCTCTCTCTCTCACAGCCACGTCTAAACTCCGCTGTTTGACTTTCCACGATGTCATTCATCTCCACGACTTTTCTTCATTTATCTGCCTGATGATTATTTACGTTATAATAGTTCGAAACGTCAACTCCAGGAGAGTGTGTATGTTTTTTCATAGTAAAGCCACATCGGGCTATCTGCTGTGTCCACCGAGGGGAATCGAACCCCTGATTTTAGCGTTGTAAGTTCGTAGACTTACCACTGTCTCACCGGCGGACCATCGCCTGGGGAGCGAATCTAGCTACATCGTCTAGAACGAACTATCATCCACTACTAAAAATGCCACTTTTGAACGGCACCTTATGTACATCAGAGACTCCTAATGGCTGTCACTTTTCTAACGCAGCTGAAAGTGTGAAGTGTGTTGAATGACATCACTTCTCGAACCTTCGACCCTTCGATCGCAGCCCGACATGATAACTACTTTGCACGACTGGTTCTTTTAAAGATTGTTTTGTTGTTGTTAATCTACAACCATTTTAAAGTTTTAAAAAAAATTTAACTGTACGGCTAGAGGGAAGGCAGATAGTTAAAAGCATCCACCGCCAACTCTTGGACTATTTTAGTTGAATAGTAGTATTTGGCCATCACCCACGGCCCTAATAGAGGACGAATTTCATGGGGCAAGGGGACTTGAACCAAGGACATTTGGATCCACAGTTCTGCCTGCTAATATCTAGACCATAATATTGCCATGGTCTAGCTATTAGCAGGCAGAACTTGGATCCAAATGTCCTTGGTTCAAGTCCCGTTGCCCCATGAAATTCGTCCTCTACTTTTGTTTAATATTGCCATGGTCTAGCTATTAGCAGCCAGAACTGTGAATCCAAATGTCCTTGGTTCAAGTCCCGTTGCCCCATGAAATTCGTCCTCTACTTTTGTTTAATATTTTCAAACAAAAGAATCATTTGGAATTGTTAATTTTCCAAACAAACCTTCTCTGATAGTTGTATCGCCGAACTATATAATTTACAATGAAATACCTTCTCACTCATACAGAGTAATGTGCTAATCGACTTCCATTTAGCCCTGCGCATGTCTGAACACAGCCTTAATAAGGTAGTTGTGGGAGTGCATATTTAAACTCGCTATTCTGATATTGACTACTTAAAATATGGAGCTTCTCGCCACAATTATCGAGCAAAAAAAAAAGAAAAAAGATTTCAAGTAGCTGTAAACATTCACGATAAAGGTCATTAATAAAAATCTAATAGTATAATCACCGAGATTGGATTTTTCACGTTCTCTTCTACTTTCAAGGGCGTGGCTTTTGTTTCTATACATATCTTGTGACGTTGATAACACTTTCTGAGTGGATAATGAAACTCAATTTCAAATGACCTGGTGTACTTGAAGATCCGATGATACTCTGAGAAATGACTTGTGAGAGCTCTGACATGAGAGTTAGCAAACTCCTTGACTTTAATTTGTTGATTAAATTAAGGTGTACTGATGTGTGAGATAGACCTTTAAAGTCATGATATCATAGTTACCATGCCAACTGTAACTGTGGAAACTGTAAGTATACTTAGTAGAAATATAGACATTATTTCATTAAAAGACATAATACCATAGTAACTATGACAACGGTAAGTGTCCTTAGTACAATTATGGAAGTTGTTTCATTAGAAGCCTTAATACCTTAGTAACTATAGCAACTGTAACTGTCATTATTACAATTATAGACGTTACTTCATCAAAAGTCATAATACTATAATAACCATGGCAACGGTAAGTGTCCTTAGTAAAATTATAGAAGTTGTTTCATCAGAAGCCTTAATACCATAGTAACTGTAGCAACTGTAACTGTCTATATTACAGTTATAGACGTTACTTCATCAAATGTCATAATACCATAGTTACCGACCTTAGCAACTGGACTTATAATATATTTTTTTAAATGTTATGTTTTTAAATGTGTTTGAAAAAACGTCCAACTTTTACTCCTGGAATTCTTCTGTCTTCATTCTTCTGAAGCAACTGATCTATCTAGTGTTTTTATTGTTTTTACTTTATTGCCTTACATAGTGTGGTTTCGTAGTTAACAACACATATAACCTGGTTAACAATGACATATAACACAGCTATAACTTGGTTAACAATACATATAACATAGCTGTAACCTGGTAAACAATACATATAACGTAGCTGTAACCTGGTAAACACTACATATAACACATCTTTAACCTGGTTAACAATACATATTACCCATCTGTAACCTGGTAAACACTACATATAACACATCTTTAACCTGGTTAACAATACATATTACCCATCTGTAACCTGGTAAACACTACATATTACCCATCTGTAACCTGGTTAACAATACATATTACCCATCTATAACCTGGTTAACAATACATATTACCCAACTGTAACCTGGTTAACAATACATATTACCCATCTGTAACCTGGTTAACAATACATATTACCCGGCTGTAACCTGGTTAACAATACATATTACCCAGCTGTAACCTGGTTAACAATACATATTACCCAGCTGTAACCTGGTTAACAATACATATTACCCATC